TCTATCGTGGTCCTGAGCTCATGTATTTTTTTTTGTCTATTTCTGTTCTAGAGTCTCTAATCATGTCCCATGCTTTCTGCTCACCATCTCTGTAGTTATCTGGGGAATTATTTCTGTTTTGAATTTTTCTAGAGCCTCATTCATCCATTTGTTATTTCCTGTGCTATCAGTTCAGGGTGTTCAGGTGGTTGATTACTAGATATTTCCATCTCATTCCTCCCAGAGTTTATCTTTGGTGAGGTGGAAGTCTGTTTGTGCCTTGTTTAAATGTCTTCTCATTTCTGTTTTTGTTGTTGTTTTGTTGTCCTTGGTTTAATTCCTAGGTTAATACTTTGGTCTTCCTGTTATAGCTTGTCTTCAAGTTTTGAGCCTCTAATGACTCTGAGGCACTCTCATTTTCATTATACCAGGAAGGACATCTGATTAGATCAATCACAACATCTTAGCCCAAGTGATACAATCAGCAGCAAAAAAGCATCAAGCACAGTTTAGCAAATGGTAATTTGTGGCAGTTTTTAATCTATCACTTGTAAGTGTGTGAATTAAATCAAAATCTAAGCTAGCGCTCAGGACAATGGCCTTTATGACGCCTCTGTGCTTCTGTGGTGTGAATCCAGGTACCAGCACAGCCAGGAGGCCAGAGGTGTGTGGGGGGGGAAGGGGGGCTGTGGGGGCCCATACAGCTCCGCCTCTTACCAGTCTGCTGCTGAGGTCAGCAACTGGGGTACAAGCTGCAGGCCAACTCCAGGCAGTTCTCCTGCCCTTTCTTCTTAACTGCTCATTCTATTTGTCATTATTCCATTTGACTCTTTAACTCTTTGCTATCTATTGCTGGCATCATTGTCTCTTTCTAGGATATCCTTGAGAATTTTTTCGGAGTGTTACATTTGGTGATCGTGAATTTCTTGAAGTGTTCTTTGTCATGGAAAACCTTATTTCTCCATCAATTTTGAAAGAGTTTTGTAGGATGTATTTGTCTGGGTTGGAAGTTGTCTTCTTTCAGGGCTTGAAACTCCTCAACCTCTTCTGGCTTTTAAGATTTGTATTGAGGAGTCTGCTGTAATTCTAATGGGTTTACCTTTACAAGTGATGTGTTGCTTTTCTCTAACAGCTTTTAAGATTCTGTGCTAGACATTTTGGATTTTGAGTATGATGTGTTGTTGGCTTCTTTTCTGATTGTGGCTACTTGGGATTCTGTATGTTTTGCTTACCTCTGTGTTAAATTTTTTCCTGATCATTGGAAAGTTTTCTATTATTTCTGTTAAAAGGCCTTTTATCCCATTTGCGCTGAACTGAATTTATTTTGCAGTTCTTGGATACATTTTCTGATTGTTCTTTTGATATCAAAGTATATGTATATCAGTCATGTATATCAGTCCTATTTTGTTCTGACACTCTGTTTTCATACTGGTCACTTTTGATATTCATACTTTCAAAAGAATTTTTTATCTCTTGGATTTGTTTGGTACCTTTTCATGAACTTCGTTTACTAAACTGGTCATTCATATTTTGTATTATTTTGTTTAGCTCAGCTAGCTTTATGTTAGTAGTATCCTGTGTCTCGCTAATCATTTTGTTTATTAAGCTCGGTATCTGTTTTAAGTATATCATGTTTGAGCTTGCAATGCACTTTATTGATATGTTCGTCTCCTCTTTTGTCATTTGTTATAATTCAGCTATTTGGCTTCTGATTTCCTCCCCATTGATGCCCCAGGGATCAGCTTTTTTGGAATTGGTACTTTTTAGAGGCATGTTATTGCCTTGTTTCCTCGTGTTTCTTTTTTTGTGGGTTAGTAATAGTGGAAAGACTGTTACTAATATGAAGATCTCTTTAGTATCCACTTTCCAGTGATGTGCTCTGGCCATGGCTAATTGCAGTAGAGTCCTCTGCTGCTGTCTCAATATCTGACTGCCTCTGTTAATTTGGGATGTGGAAAGTGCAGTGTAATTTGCCCAACACCTGGTATCCCTGGAAACGCAGAATTGTTGATGACATAGACAAACCAAATGCTAGCATATAGTAAAAACTAGACAGTAGCACCATCCTGCCGTAGAAATGAAACCCGCAACAATAATGTAATCAAAGACAAAGTGGCTGTTGTCATACCATAAGAACCAAAAAAGCTACTACTTTGCTACCATTAACAATAAAAAGATTATAGATACAAAGACAAGCCAAGTATTGACACACAGTAAGTATGTACTAGATGAAAAGACTATACCACCCAAAGCAATAGAATTGAAGAATAATAGCATAGAGTCAACTAAATATATAAAGATTAATAAAGCTTAATAGTAATACTAGTAAAAATGGAGGGGTTGGAGAAGGAAAGTAGAAGTCAAATTTAAAAAATAAAAGGAATGTGAGAAGGAAAAGAGAAAATTGAGATAAAGATACTTTTAACATGTTCATGATGGGGATTTCTCACTGCTGGAAGGCTCTGATTTAATTTTATTTGTAAAAAGACCAATAAAAGTGATTAGATCTATTTGTACCACCAGCCATACAAACTGCCTGATGGGAGAGTAATGCATGTGCCACCTGTGGCTCAAGCCTGCGGGAACATGTTAAGGCACAAAAGACAGTTAAGAGAATTAGAAAAAATGGTGCAAAAGAATAAACATGGAAAAGAAAAAACAGAGCAGATAGAAGAAAAAAACAAAAACAAAAACAAAAACAAGAAGAAAAAGGGAGAAGAAAAAAACAACCCCCACAGCCCCAAAATCCAATGAGGAAAAAGAAAAGTGAGTCCAAAAATATTCCTGCATGTTTTTGGATGACTGAATGAGCAGTTTCTTCCAGGGTCTGCACTTTTGGCATCCACCAGGTATGTGGGAGGAATAGTGAGTCACTTCTAAGACCTGTTTTGTTCCACACTCAGTTTTTTTGTGTGAATGCTGAATCCTGCCTATCTTTCCTCTGGGCTTAGTTGGTCCTGGGGCTGTATTCACTCTAGTTTCCATGATCCTCTGAGTGCCTTCAGTTACCCCTTTCTCTGCCTTGTTATGTCCTGTGGGTTTTGAGGTACCTTCTGCTCCTGAGGTCCCCATCTCTGTACACCCCAGGCTGTGGCAGTTGTACAGCCTGAGCTATTTTCCTGACTATGTTGGCAGATGGAGAGAGCAAATAGAACTGTGAGTTCTTTGTTGGATATAGGTAGCAGGGTAGGGGGGTCAAGCTGTCCACTGGATTCAATGCCAGCATTTTCAGACCCAGTGTGCGCAAAAGCCATACATGTCTGACCTGGCTTCTCAATTTGGAGAATGGAACCCCTGTGTCTTTCCTGGCCTGAGTTTAAATTTCCCTGGGAGTCTGTGTCTAGCCTGCAGCCCTCTGCATCTGTCTCTTGTGGCCATCTCCCATCCAGTTCCTGTGGTGGGGTAACCACAGAAACCCTGAAGTGTAATTGTTCTGGATTTCGGTCTTAACCCCTTCCAGTATGGCTCTTGATTGACATAATGGTGCTAAAATTTATGTCTTACTGCCAAGCAGCTCTGATTTAATTTGTATGTCTTGCTGCTGGGCGACACTGATTTAATTTTATTAGTAGAAAGAATGACAGAAGATCAGATTGGTTTGTACCATCAGTGGTACAAGCTGCCCAATGGGACAGTCATACATGTGGCACTGGTGGTTTAAACCAGTGGGAGTGTGAAACACTGTCAATGTCAAATATGGCAGATGCTGTAGTGGAATTCTTCTGCAATTGTAGCCCATCACGAGTTAGGAGTCACTTTCAGAGTAAAACCCCATGCTGTTTTTTCAGTTTACAATAACTAGGTTTTCTTGGTCCAGTGTTTCTCCCTGGTTTGCCTACCATCTCTGGGCTCACCTTGTATTAGCAGAGTCAGGTCCCCCTTCCTGGGCACTGGGGCTAACTTTGCAGGCTACTTCATTTTTTTCTCTGTGTTTTATTCCATTTTTTAGCTTGTTTGTGGTTTCTTGATTTCCTGTCAGCTTCTTCTGATTCCAAGAGATCTACATTTTTTTTTTCCTTCAACAAGTTGTTTTTCACGTGTCTTGATTCCATGTTCTAGAGAGGATATATTTTTCTACTGGTCTTTACTCTGCCATTTTTAATTCTACGTTTTGAGACAGGGTCTTTACTGTATAGTTCAGGCTACCCTTGATCTCACTGTCAGCCCAGGCAAGTCTCCAAGACTCTTGATCCTCCTGCCTCACCTTCTGGAGTTGTTTGTATGGTTTGTATGTGTCTCTGAGGAAGAAAAACACTGCTATTTTTTGGCATAATGCTTTTTTTCCTTTAGAAATTCTTATTTCATATTTACTGATAGTGGTTTTTAAAGTATAATTTTTTATCATATAAATTATTTCTTTAGTTATCTTGCTTGACATAGATTTCTATCTGACAAAATGTCATTCAGCATCATGAAGCTTCTGGAACTCTTACTTTCTTAAGTTTCATAAAGCATATAGTTGTTGCTTTGTAAAAAAATAAGAAAACTGCTGCCATTTCTCCAACAAAAATATTTATTTCATAATAGCAAATTCACGCCTTTCTTCTTTCTTTTCTTACTTTCTAAGCAGTGACTACTTATAGCATAAACTTGGCATTAACTTTATGGTTGTTAACTCAACTGTAATAGCCACTGTGCATGTAAGTGCTTTGAAGTGGCAGCATGAATAGCTAAAGTGGAGTTCATGCCTGTAGTTCATCAGTAGTTCCTTCTTGGCTACTGCCTGGCTCCTGTAATGATAAAAAAAAAATGATTGTAGAATTATCTCAATTTTAGAGATGATGAAATGTCAGGAAAAATATGTTCATTAGAGGAAATGCTGTGTATGTGTATATCTTACTATTGCTTTCTTATTTATTCTATAAGCCATTTTCCCTAGATTACAAGTTTTAAACCATATTTGATAATTGTGGTATGCATACATCTGTCTGTATTCCCCAAAAGGAAAGAGAAAAAAAAGTTAACACTTTTGCTTACTTTTAATTCTTCCTGAATATATAAATGGAATATTTTCATCCTAGATGTGTTTGATGGACATTTACTGGGATCCACAGACAGCCAGGTGAAGGAAAAGTCAACTATGAAAGCCATCTTTGCAAATTTGCTCCCAGGGAATAGTTATAATCCTATTCCATTTCCTTTGTAAGTATTGTAAATACCAGTGGCTGTTGGGAGGTTTTGTTTTTCCTTAATTTAAAAAAAAACTCTCCCTAGACTCTTTCCCCATATATTTAAGTATATTTATCTGCATATATATAGTTTTCAATCCTTGATTTCATGTCATTATAGTAAGAGATGTCTTTTGATGTGTAATTTGTAGACTCTGTAATCATTATTATATAGTAGCGAATGAAGAAAGCATTAAATAATATTTAGTGTTGAAAATTACTTGTCTTTTTTTTTTTTTTTTTTTTTTTTTGTGTTTAAAATTTTTTTTTTTTTTTTTTTTTTTTTTTTTTTTGGTACTAGGGATTGAACTTGGGATCTTGTGCTTGCAAGGCAGGCAGCGGAACCACTGAGCTAAATCCCTGGCCCTACTTGTCTTGAAATTAGTGAAAAAAATAAAATTACTTGTCTTAAAAAAAACAATTGCTTACATAGTACACACACACACACACACACACACACACACACACACAGTTTAAACTGTATGCGCATATAGTTTAAAGATACAATGCTGTGTGTACTGATCTCATGATCTTAAAAGCATATTGCTTGTTGTATATGAGGATGTTACTGGCACAGTAATTCACTGGACCCTGGCATTGTTCTAGCAGTAATGATAAAGTAAAATTACTCATGCAAGTCTTCCTATGAACTTTTTTTGTGCTGAGCTTACTTAGACTGGGAAAGAATGTAAACTGACTGAAAAGGTGGTTTTTCTTGTACTGGTTGACCTGTGTGGTCATTGAATGCTGCTGTAGTTACCATGGTACAAGTTCATCACAAAGGTAGACATTTTAACAAGGGGTTTTTGCTTTTTCTTAACTGACCTATATATTTATATAGTCATTGTAAATAGTTCCTGCTCTAGCACATGAAGGTACAGAACAAGACTTGAGGAAAAAATCCCTGCTCTTGGGAGCTCATGATTTTGGGGAGAATACTTACAGATATTCATAGGATAGTGTGTGATATGTTACTTAGTGGTAGTTTATTAAAGCTCTCTGTTTTCTCTATTTTAGACTAGAAATCTAAAAACAAGGTATCAACCTAGTTCTGGTGAGGGCCTTCTTCCAAGTTTTAGATTATTGTCTTCTCTGTATCTTCACATGGTGAAAAGAGCTCCCTTGGATTCCTTTTTATAAAGGCACTAATTTCATTTATGAGGTCTTTACTCTCATGACCTGAATTATTTCCCAGTTGCCTCACTTCCTAATACCATTACATTGGGAACTAGGGTTTCACCTCATGATTTTGGGTTTGTGCATAGCGGAAACAAACATCTTATGATTTTCTCACAGCACTCATGGCAGAGGAAGTGATTATATTTGTTTGTAGTATTATTTGGTTATCCCACTGTATTGTAAATTCTATCTCATATACATGAAATACTTATAACAGTTTTCCTCAATTCATATTGTATTTGTAGCACGTGAAGTGCACCTAAATAAAGTGAATAAGGCCACATAACAGTACCTAGAGGAGTTAGAGTAGAAATTAGGGAAGAAAATTTTGTTGAAATGGAGTCACCATTAAGTTCCTATGTGGTAACAATAGAGTGCTTGTGTTGTGTTCTTCATTACTGAGTTCATAATACAGCTCCATATTTTCTAGAAGACTTTCTCTAAATTTTATAGATGAAGAAAATATTATAGGTTTCTATTTATTGGAAGTTCTTTTTGATATTATTATGGACAGAATCTTGGCAGTATGGAATGCTTTGGAGTGACTATTCCAGAACCTTCTGATTTGAAACTTAATTCTGATAATTTTTCATTTGCCTTAAAAAACTTGGTATCTTTTTATCATTGACTTGATTCATGTTCTTAGAATTAGTGTACATTATAGCATACTTAATTATATTCTTGTACATTATTTAGTTAAATTTAAATTGTTCCAAGATTTACTTGCATTAATGAAGTTTTATATTTTATTTTCTTCTAATTTTATTCTTATTTACTTCATTTATTTAAAAATTTGAACAGTGATCCAGATAAGCACTATTTAATGTATGAACACGAACGCGTGCCTATTGCAGTTTGTGAGAAGGAACCCAGCTCCATCATTGCTTTTGCTCTCAGGTATCATTTGTGGGACTTTCCACACTGTGGTTATAACTGTGTTCTTTATGTATGTTCATGTCTATTAATCACCCTGTTTTGGGAAAACGATTAAATTTATTTTTAGACTTGACATTCTCTTCTCTGTGTACCTGAAAACCTTCTCTACCTAGATATGGGAATGGGGTATGGCATCACTCTCAAGCAAGCTCTCATTCACTGAGTTAACTAGACAAGCTGCACACTAACCCTTGGGTTCTCTGTATTATAATTCTCTGACCTCTTATCTATTATAATTTGTACCTGTGTATCCCTTACTGTGTTTTAGTTATTAGCATGGGGCTTGGAATATGCCTACTTTATCCCATTTGAATATCTTTTTTTAAATCACTAATTTCCTTCCTGCTTCCCACACATACTAGGTAAAATTTTCGTACTTAAAGAATGTTATCCTTATGCCTCACCCTGTTGATACATTTAACTATTTAACTTATATAGTTATCCTTTGTCTTTAAAGAGGCACCACACTCCAAGATATTTATATAATGTCTTTAAAAATGGGCTTTTTAGTCGTAAAAATGTTGGCAGTAATTGAACTTAGTTTAAATAAAATCTAAGGTGTTTTAAAATTTTCTTCCATTGTGAGGCATTAAAAGTTTTAACTTTTTAGATATGCTACAAAGTATCCATTTATTCAACAAATATTTGAATGTCTATGAAATGTGATATATTAGGTATGAAATATATAAGGGCAAAAAAGATAGATGTATACATGTTTTTGGAGTTTAGTGTTTACTGTTTGGATAAGAACAATATTTTCCTTTAGAAGATTCCATATGATAATTTAAAATATCTTTATCTTTTAGTGTTTATGAAGGTTGAATTTCCTTCTCATTTTATTGATTCGTCATCATATGTTAATAGATAAAACAGTATCAAAGTGAAAAATTTTTTGTACTGTTAGGAAGCAAGTACAGTATTCTGTCAAGGTCATCTTTTGATCTCTTAGAAAAATAATATACCCTTACATGACTCTTGTTTCATGAGATTTAATTTTTCTAAAGCATGACTCTCAGACTTCTAGTCTAACAGTCAGATATTTATTGACTAATAGAAAATTAAGAAAATTTTTATTCTTGAAGTTTAGTATCTTTAAGTAGAAATGCACTCTCTAGTTCCTTTACTGTTTACTATGAAGACATCACCTTCCTTATGAGGGCTTCTGTTTGACTAATTTGTTAACCCAAATGTATTTGCTTAATTATGGACATTTATAATGATTATGTTTCTGTAATGCAAAACTTATTCTAAAGCTCATGATTTATTTTTAGAGAAAGGATTAATGTTTAACATTTTTTAACTTATTTCTATGCTAAGTTGTAAAGAATACCGAAATGCCTTAGAAGAATTGTCTAAAGCAGCTCTGTGGAACAGTACTGAAGAAGGCCTTCCAACAAATAGGTGATTTACGATTGAATAAAATCTATTTTCGTTACATATGTCATCATTTTCTGTATCCTTGTTCTTCAGTTCTCTTGCAGCATATTATTAGTATAAAAATTTTAGCCCATAATTGAGAAAACAAAGTTTAAGTCAAAAGACCTTAGTTTTCTGCCAGTTGCCATATAATTCAATATATGCTGGAGATTTAAACTTCTAACACTTTTGAGAATTAAAACAAGCATTGATTGATTGATTGATTTTTTTTTTTCCCATTAAGTTTATTGGTAACTTTAGGGCAAACAATACAGTTACATTCGTCATTGGGATCTTGTATCTTTGCATGATGTATCTTGGTTCTTATTTTTTCCCCATTCCTCTTCCCTCCCTTCACCCCCTTCACCCTTCCCTATTTACAAATACTTTGTTTCCATTTTTTCCTTTTTTAATTTTTTTTTCTTTTCTCTATTTCCTTTCCCCTAAACAAGTATTTATTTAAAAATTAGTAACTTGTAAAATTAGTTCACTAATATTTTATAATTTTAGGTGTTTGTGAATTTTCCATACTAACTAAAGATCTTAATAGTTTAAAAAATACCCAAATCAGCTTTTTAGTATGTCGAATGTTTTAGACATTTTGACAGAAATTGTCACAGTCTCCTTATTGCTAAAATAGGATTTCCCATTTTACAAATCTGGAAAAATTTTATCTGAATTATCATTGTTATTAGAATGAAAAAAATGAAGTTGGTATTTTCTGTAATTGTTTGACTTACAGGTAGGTACTGCTCTAGTTCTAATAGACTTGGGGAAAATATTATTAAACCCTGTGCTTTTGTGTTCTCTGTAAAATTTTATTGTTATAATTTGCTTTCTTAAATCCAGTAGATATTTCAAGACTCTTCCATGTTCCAATCTGTGTTTATATAAATTATGAATCAGATTTCTGGTATTGTGGGTAGGATTAGTTGGGGGGAGTAGAGTAGTGTAGTGTAGGAATCAGAATATGTTGTTATATTCTAAGTAGTTTAAAATCAGTTTTTCTGCAGGGACAAAGGGGGAAAAATGAGACCAAGACCTGTCATGTAAAGGTACAAGATCCCAGTAATGAATGTAACTGTACTGTATACCTAGAATGTACCAATAAACTCAATAAAAAGAAAAAAAAATCAGTTTTTCTTTTGTTTTTCTTTTTAGTACTTTAGACAACAGACCCAAGAGTAGTAGCCCTATTAGACTGCCTGAAATCAGTGGAGGACAGACAAGCCGTACAACAGATGCAGAACCACAGCCAAGTAAGCTTACAAATGGAGGAGTATATGTAATGGTTTTCTTTGTAATTATGGTTTGAAGAAGAAAACACAGTAAGAAATGTCATCTGGTGAGGATTTGATACATCTGGTCTTTGAATCAGAGTATGGATTTGAACAGTTTTGAGTATTCTTTTGCATAGATTTTTTTGCTTTTCTTCTTTGTTTCTTACTTTAAATTAAGTTATTGAATTTAAAATTTTTAGAAATTCCTTGCTTTATGCAAAAAGGAGAGTCTACCTTCCTAGAACTTTTAGTTTTAAAAGTATAACAAGAATTATAATAAAATTAACATTTTTAATTTTAGTTACACGGTATTATTGGTACTATGAAAATAAAATTTTATATGTTTTAAGTTTATGTTGTATTTAATCCCTACAATACCCAGATAAGGATTATTTGATAATATCCTTATTTTTAGAAAGGATGTTAAGATTTAGAGTATGTAACTTGGTCAACATTAGAGTGTGGTGAAGCTGGATTAGAACTCAGGTTTTGTTAACTCTGTCAGTTAGGAATCCATTCTGCTACAAGTAACAAAATTCAGCTGACTATGAGGGCTTAAACAAATGACACTTTGCTTTCTAAGAACTGGAGTTAGGCAATTGCTGGCTTTGGTTGAATTGCTAAGCATTGTTATGACAGTAGAGGGATGGTTTCTTCTTAATGAGTTTTTCTTGTAGTCAGGAGTATTCTCTTTGAACATTCAAGGCAGAAAGAAGGGTATTAGGAGTTGCAGCTGTTCTTTTTTGTTAGAAACACAGAGGCACCCCTTCAGTCTCACTGGTCTCATGACCACTCTAATGGCTGATAAAGGGTGGGCAACATTATCCTAGTTGACTTGGACAAATGATTCATTTCCTAGGATTCTACACATAGCTACTCCCACAAAATTAGACTTGTATTCATAAGGAATCAGGTAGATAAATCAGGTAATATAAATATTAAGGAGGTAGTAATAATGTCTGCCACTGCAAGTACATACTTGTATGACTAACATTTTTTATGGATTTTCTAAGTGGTAAATTTATAGTATTAGAATCATACATACTAGGAATAAAAGTAAAAAGTAAGCTTTAGCAAATTCTTGGCCATCCTGTGGTGTTTATTTTTTAAAAGATGGTAAAAACAAACTTCTATTTTCCTGTGTTTCTAGGTAGAAACCCAAAAGATGCCAAGTTACCTTTAACTGAATTCTATAGTTGTGGAATTGTTTTGTTAGATTAATTAGCTGTATTATAATAATAAAGAACTCAGCTGTACTCTAATCTTGTTGCTTAAGATGTTAAGCTTCATTTGAAAGACTTTCTAGAGAGTCTCTCCATTTTGACATTTAACTAGCTGAGTGTTGCTTTCATTCTAGTATGTTACTGATAACAAAAGCACTTGGCTACTCAGTAACATTGACAACTTTTGGAATAATACAGTGGTACCTTGGTTCATGAACTTAATTTGTTCTGTGATTTTGGAAAAGATGGCTGTGATCTTGTCACCCAGTGTAGAGTTTGCAAACAAAAACCAGATTTTTGCCAAACTGTTTTTGTGAATCAAATTATTTGCAAACATCGGTTTGCAAGCATTTGTGAACCAAGATACCACTGTAGTCTATGCAAATGAAACTATTGGTGTTTTTCAGAATTATAGCCTCATGTAATGGTTACTACTAACAAACAACAAAAAAGTTGAAAATCTTTACTTTCCACCTGCAGTGATTAATTAAAATTAATTTATTACTTCTTATTTTTAGTCAAAAAGACTTCTGGAATGTTGTCTTTCTTCAGAGGGACAGCAGGGAAAAGCCCTGACCTCTCTTCCCAGAAGCGAGAGACCTTACGTGGAGCAGATAGTGCTTACTACCAGGTTGGGCAGACAGGGAAGGAGGGAATGGAGAATCAAGGCATTGATCCTCAAGGTGTGTTAAGTAGACCAAATTTGCTTTCATTCATTTATTTTAGTTTCTTATAGCTTTAAGTAGACAATTCCTACTATTGAAGCTGGGGCATTCTGTCTAGTCCATGGCATTTGGAAATTCCTCCTAGTTTCAGATTTTGTTGCTATCATTTACTATAAGGTAGAATGAGAAGTCCTTAGTTTTCATTTCTGTAAAGTGATAAAGCTGGTGTCTTCCAGGGTTAAGTGAAGGCTGAGTGATATTACATACATAAAGCATCTGACCTACTGTTGAACTCCTAACAGACACTCAAGATATTTTCATTCTATTAAATTTGCCTCCCAGATGTTTTTCTTTTCCACTGCCTATAAAGTTGTGGCTATTTGTGTTCACCTACTTTTTGATATTTTAAAAGTATATCTACTTGATTGGGTTTGGGTATGGATATGGGTACAGGTATTTTGCAGATTATGCTGACCGTTTTTGTAAATAAAATTTTATTGGTGCACAGGCACACCCATTCATTTACTCTTGTTGCTTGTGTGTTACATTGGCAGGTTGGGTAGTTGTAACTGAGAAAACTGTCTACTTTAGAGAAATTGTTTGGTGATCCTAGCTTAAGTCATGAGTTAGTAGTTAAAAATAGTAACTCTTATAGTATGATTAGTAATTAAGGTATCTTTAATATTATATAGGCTGCTTTGGGGCAGTAGGTGTTTATAATGTGTTTTTAGAAATCTTCGATGCTTAAATGATTTTGAAATGTGAAATTTGGGGATGATTTGTTCTTCCAGATACTGAAATGTACAGTATTCCAAATCTATAGTAGAGAGAGTGGGCCTGGCAGTAGTTTTGCCAGAAAGATCAGTCTGAACACACATTCACACTCACACACACTTCTGAGTTGTGTCTGAGCTAGTGGCGCATGCCTATAATACCTGTAATACCAGTCTGGAAGGTTTGAGGCAGAAGGATCACAAGTTTGGGCCCAGCCTGAGCAACTTAATGAGTTAGCCGAGACACTGTCTCAAAATAGAAAATGAAAAGTTTCTGGGTATGTAGCTCCGTGCGAAGACTCTTGAGTTCATTCACCAGGATGACCAAAAAAACCCAAAACAAACAAACAAAAAAAAAGTCAGAAAATAAAAAAGTAATGCTCTAAATTAGACTAATATTCCAGGGAAGCATTACTCTACACTTGGGGAAAAGTAATCATAAAATCTGCTAAAGAAGTCATGGAAATTCTTAAGTATAAGAGCTAAGTTTAGGAATCACTTAAGAAAAATCATTCAACCTGAATTCAACCTGTATTTTTAACTGTAAAATTGATATTTCAAGGGATAACACATTTCTGTTATAATTGTTTACACAGTTTAATCAATGACAACTAGGATTTCTTTTTTTTAGTACTAGGATTGAACCCAGGAATCCAGGTCCTTCATACTGAGCTACATTCCTAGGTGCCCCTGGTTCCCCATGCTTTGTTTGTTTTTTAATTTATGTGTTTTAGATAGGGTCCTGCCATGTAGTCCTGGTTAGCCTTAAACTCAACTTGTGGCAATTCTTCTGTCTCAGCTTCCTGAGTGCTGAGATTACACCCATGTACCTCTATACTCTGCACATTACTGGGCTATTTTATTGTTCATTTACTATTTTTGTTGTTACATGAAGGGGAAAAAACAAACTGATAACTGTTTAAAACTTTGCTTTTACTAATGCTATTAAACCTTTTAGATGAGGTAGATGGAGGAGATTCACAAAAGAAACAATTTACAAATCCTCACGTGGAACTTCGTAAGTATGAAATGATATATTTGGGGACAGGGACAATAAGTGAACAAACTGTTATTGAGACTTATAGCTTCATATTAGAAAATCTCTTCTTTCCTGAAATGAATATTAAATCTTTACTCACAGGTTTTATTTAATCTATAATTCAGTTTGTAAAGTGCATTTTTTATTTATTAAAAATTTAATTCTATATTTAATTAAAATTGTAATTTAACTTATAAATTTATAAATTATACTTTTAGTTAATTTCTAATTTTTAAATCTTATTTAATCAAGAGCCACAGAGCTTAACAAGCATGTAGAATTGTATATATGGATGTCAGAAATTTATTATCTGGAATAATATGGACAGTAAGTCTAAAGATGTTTATTAAGGTGCTTGCTTTGGCAGCACATATACCAAAAGTGGAATGATAAGGAGAAGATTAACATGACCCTTGCACAAGAATGACACACAAATTCATGAAACATTCCATACTTTTTAAGATGAGGAACAGCTCAACCAAGTGCAAATTATCAAATTCAAAAGCTTACTTTAATCAAATAGGCTAATGAGATAATTCTGTTAACTTTCTGTTCCTTCTTGGGAGAAAAGCACTTACTAATAGGGCATGCAGGTGTCTTGTTATTTATCCCTACTTTTAAATGGTTCATGATTCCATTTTTCCTTTTATTTAGAGCAAGTTGGTAGATATATTGAATGCATTTTTGGTTTATTCCAGAAGAATATACTTACAATAAAAATTGTTGTAGAAGGAATAAAAAGTATTTCATATAATTGCTATAAAAGTGTAATGCAGTACAATATTAGAACCGGGTCTTATTTTGTTTGACATTTTTGGAAAATGTGAAAGAGTGGTCATACATTGCCTTTGAAAGATGGTTTAAAGAATTGTGATAAACAGGTATATTATTGAAACTTAACTGAAAGATGCCACCATTGAGTGGCCTGCTTGGTTGCATTTGGTGTGAAAGAAGGAGGAAAAGATACTTTGTGATTTATAAAAGCTTTTTAAAATTTAAACTTCTGTTTATAGAATTTTCTGATGCTAATGCCAAGTTTTACTGTCGGCTCTACTATGCGGGAGAGTTTCATAAGATGCGTGAAGTGATACTGGGCAGCAGTGAAGAAGACTTCATCCGCTCCCTTTCCCACTCATCGCCCTGGCAGGCCCGAGGAGGCAAGTCTGGAGCTGCCTTCTATGCAACGGAAGGTATGACTTTTCATCACTTACTGATGGAGCATCTTTTCCCTGAGATAATGTGCAAGTCATTTTTACTGAAGTACGTTGGTATTGTCTATAAGAAAACCAAATTTGCTGTTTTCTTTTTATTCTTGAGAGGATGGAATAAGACTTTTAAAAGAATATATATGTACATATTTGTAATGAGACTTGGGCGTTGATCAGGTCCTCACTAAACTCCCCATTTGAGTTCTCCAAAATGTAAAAAGACAGCTTCCAGAAAACTTGAGAGGGTACCTTAGTCCTTATGAGAGAAAATTAGAAATATTTAATCTGAAAAATAGAAAGACCAAGCTCTTTCCATACAAAAGCTTATAGAATATTGTGACCATTTTGTGTTTCACATTCTATTCTCTATACCCATTGAAGGCAAAATTATTTAAGAAAATGCACCAGGAGATCTGTTGCTTAATAAGAACTTTTACAACTGTGACTTATGGATTGTTAACAAAGGAGTTTATAAAATTTTATTTGGTAGTTCTCAAAGGTAGGTCACATACTAATGAATTTAGATGTGGTACTGTCACAAATAGAGGGCTGGCTCTTGATTGTATAAATCCTTAGCATCCTTTGTAGCCCTGCAATTGTGTGACAGTTGGGCTCTGATCAGAATTTTCACTGTGACATCAGAACATATCCTTTAAAACCAAAAGAAAATGATTTGGGATATCTGGAATAATTTATTACAGATGACAGTATGTTTTGTGGTTGAATAAACACATGAAATTTCTGCCTTTTAGATGACAGATTCATTTTGAAGCAAATGCCTCGCCTGGAAGTACAGTCTTTCCTTGACTTTGCACCACACTACTTCAATTATATTACGAATGCTGTTCAACAAAAGGTAGACATCCAAAATCTTGGTCTATAATTAGAGTTTACTGGCTCTTTTAGTCTGAATGGCAGTTTTCCCTGTGGCAAGATATTAACATAACATGACTGGATCTTTGTTTTACTACTGAGGTCTAGAGAGTAGAGATTTCAAACTCTGTTTTTATAACTTTTTCCAATGAAGAATGAAGTAATCTGGAATAAGCTACTGTTAGTATATTTTATTTATATATATGATGAAAATAAATTTAAAATATTATCTACACATTTAGTAATTTTTCATTTTCCTCAGATAGAAATTGGAAACACATTAAGAAATGGGGGGTGCCTCCTTTAGCTAGAAAAGGAGGACACCAATGACAGGTTTGCCCACTCTTTGAATAATGACTGTTGACTACGTAAGATTATGAAGAGTTTTATAGATGTTTTTTTAAAGTTACAGCTTTTTAGAGGAAATTCTGTGTCATAACAAAAGTTTTTTAATTTTAACAACTGAAGGACTGTCTCTGTGGAGAATGTTAAGGATCTAACTAATACTTCTATTGACATTACTACTGTACTTGTGAAATTCAAGGGTTTGAGTTTCTTTCAAGATCCTTTCACTGGTTATATCAATAGTAAATCATGTTTTTATATTACATGGATAATGCACGTAACAAAAATTTGTATCGAATTATAAATAGTCCCTTTGATAAGAGTTTACTTTGATTTTTTTCTTGATAGAGGCCTACTGCCTTGGCCAAAATCCTTGGAGTTTACAGAATTGGTTATAAAAACTCTCAGAACAACACTGAGAAGAAATTAGATCTTCTTGTCATGGAAAATCTTTTCTATGGGAGAAAGATGGCACAGGTAAGCATATTGGACTATGTGAAGCATTCTTTTTTTTTTTTTGGTAGCGGGGATTGAACTCTGGTCCTTGCACTTGCAAGGCAGGCCACTGAACCACTGAGCTAAATCCCCAGCAAGCATTCATTTCTTGAGACCTTTTGTACTTCTACTTTTGGAGGTAATGAATCTGAGTTACATTATTATATATCAAATATTTAACTTTGGCTACTAGGCCAGATTCAGTTTTTGATATATTGAAGAAAGAGTAAAGATAAATTGTTGTTATGGCCTAGTCCTAAGGTTTAATATAGTTATTACTTTAGAATCACATAATTGGTAGAATAAGAGAGCAGTTCTACTTCTTTTATCTCAATTTTTTTTTGTTCCTGCTTGTATTTGAGCTATAAAGATATGGTTAATTTTCTTTAAAATTTTTTTCCTTTTTATTGAGTTGATTGGTACATTCTAGGTATACAGTACAGTTACATTCATTACTGGGATCTTGTACCTTTAAATGACAAGTCTTGGTTCTCATTTTTTCCCCTTGTCCCTGCACTCCCTTCATCCCCTCCTCCCCTCCCCATTTAAAAAGACTTTTTTCCCATTTTTTCATTTTCTCATACTTTTTTCTTTTCCCTTATTACCTTTCCCCTACCCTTCCCACTTTCCCTACACCTTTAGCCCTTTTTTTCCTATTTCACATTGTTAATTATCCCATTAGGATCTTGTGTGCTATTATAGTTTTTCACACCAGAGAAACTGTTCGGTATTTATACATGTGTGACTTATTTCTTTCACTTAGGAGTATATCCTCAAAATGTATCCATTTTCATATGAATGACTCTGATTTCTCATTTTTTTTCAGCTTTAATTGAGTTTATTGGTACATTTTAATGATACAGTACAGTTACATTCATTGTTGGGAATTTGTACCTCTGCATGACAAGTCTTGGTGCTCATTTTTTTCCCTTGTCCCTGCCCTCCCTTCACCCCCCCCTCCCCTCCCCATCTACAAACACTTTATTTCCATTTTTTCATTATCTCGCATTTTTTTCTTTTCCCTTGTTACCCTTCCCCTACCCATTCCACCTTCCCTACACCTTTAGCTCCTTTCTTCCCATTTCTTTTTTTTTTTTTTTTTTTTT